ACTGAAACTCGTGAAAGACTGAAAAACATTCTTTTGGCCATTCTATTTTTGTATTTTCACTCATCTGAGATATAAAACAGCATTTACAGAAGCAAAGTAGTTGTTTGATATTGGGGCATCTCGTGTTTGAAAGGTCGTTGAACGCCAACCGGCTGATTACATAGGCCATTTCACAAATCTCACTGAATATTACGATACTTCAGCTTAAATTCAGTACATTGAAGAGAGGTCATCAGATAATATTGAACCTCGTGGTTAAGTGATTTACATGCAGTTATTGACTATAGAAAAGAAGCCTTGCTCAAAAGCCTACTATGTAATCTGAGGAGACATTCTACTACTTGCGAGATTCCACGGGGTACCTTTCACTTCAACACAGCTCCAATCCACACCCCATCCCTTTTACTATGTTACTTCCGTGCCGATGCAGCTCGAACCCGCACCACAACTATTACACTGCGCCGTTTTCGTACAAAGCGTGCGGAGAAATCGCATCCAAACTGAGGAGTCTTGCATAAAGATGTTCAAATCCGTCACGAACAAGACCATCTAACTTGTTTAAAGGCATCGTTCACGATGAAAAATTATTGAGTTCTTACTTTTTGATACTCAGCGACCCCCATGGGTTGTAGAGGGGACCCTCTCACTCCCCCAATCTCGACGTCCAGGGCCTAGTGGCAGCCCCGTTGTTGCCGTAGTTCGCGTTCCCGCCCCTCGATCGGTGTCACGTTAGACGAGTGTCGAGACAATACAGATTGCTATTATTCGTTCAAGGACCCACGCACAATCAGCTAATCGCCGAGTGATGAGGCGACGTTTTTCTCCCATTCTTTTTTCCTCTGTTTTTCTTTTTGCTGCCGCGATCCCTTATTTAATTTCCTACTCCTAGAGGCTGAAAAAGGTGAGCTACTTTTGCTGTCACTAGGGTTTTTTGGTTTATTTATGCTTACAAGTGAATAAATTTTTTCTTACCATTGTCTGTTATTCGCACCAGGACCCGCACGCGCGCAGTGAAACACACTATTTAGCTCGTCCGTACGCTCCACTCTTCCTCATTTTTCTGGTTTCATTCTCGTCCAGCACCCTTTTTAACGGTTTTTCGAAGCCTTTTTTCACTTTGGAAACACCGATGCACGCAGTTTCTTCACCTCAGTCGCACTACGATCTTGTCTTCCATTTTTCATCATAATCTGGATTACCCAAAATTGTCGTGAACGGTGCCTTTAAATATTATTAGGTTGATGCATAATTATTGCGGATTTTTTCCAGCAAGTTTTACTTAAAGAAACTATAGAAATACTAAGCAAAGACATATTCAAATATTTACTTTGGAACTTATTCACCATCTATGTCAAGCACTGCTTCCCATTGATTAGTTAGTCGGATCCCAAAAGCGAAGAAGTTTCGATCCCTGGGGGCGATGATCCACGCCTTGACATCGGCCATCAAGTCATCCAAATCGACGTAACTTCTATTCTCCAGCCATTTTTTCGATGAACGGTAGACGAGAATCCATAAAAGTTTCTGCTGGTGAATATGGCAGATTTAGGGGCAGATCCCATTCCTTGGTTGGCTCTGGCTGATTGTTCGATCGCCGAAGTTACTGAGATCGCGGAATGACTGTGCCACCTTCCAATCTCTCTCGAAGTAGTTAGGCCTAATTTCACGAATCTGCGGATGGTTTTTTGAGTATATTCTTGCAGAGGAAATCAAATAGATCATTTCTAGAAAAAACTCGAACTCAATATTTAAATTCTATCGAGAGAAAAAAGCCGCGAAAAAATCCGCAATAATTACGCATCAACCTAATATTTTTAGGATGCTTCTTCATTAGGATTTTTTGTTGAAATTTCTGTCATCTTGCAATATAATAAAACTCTTTAAACCAAAGACCAAGAAGATTTTACGTTGAAATACTAATTTTCTTGAAGTTTCATTTTCTCATCATTCTCACCATTCGCCATCACTTTCATAAGTAAGATGAGGTTAGTAACGATCGAGGAGAAGCGCGTAATTAAGATAAGGTTAGTTACAATTGAGGTCACCTCGCACCTCGGCGTCAAGTAATCTCAGTCGTAACTAACGTCGCACACCCATGTTTCAGTAAATTTCGTTCTGTGTGCTGTGGGTTGTGTATTCTAGTTAGGCTGGTGTCAGAGTCCGCGATCCGTCGCAGGTTTCGAGCGATTCACCGAAAACTGCGGAACCTGCGACGGATTGCGGACTCTGACACCGGCTCAAGCATGTGAGTGAGCGCCTAACTATTGTTTCGAAGCTTTTTCTAGTAGCCTTTTTACAAACCGACACGTGCATCTCTTGAACGTTTCAGAGGCTGTTTCTGAGGATCTCGACGAGCGCACGCTTTTCCGCAAATGCGCTACATTTGACGCTCCAGGATTACAGTAATACTTTGATGACCTATGGAAACTCAGCTTTTTGTGGCAATTTCAAAGACGTTTTAATTCCGAATGGTGGACATCATAGACTGTGTTTTATAGGTGGTATCAGACAGCCTCTATTCAGAATTTGTGAAATTTATACGTATTTGCTGCATGCTGATATCTTCACTTGTCAGTTTTTTCATGTTGCGAAAGTTGGGGGTGTCTATTTCATTTTAAATTTATTTCGAAAAAGCTTGTTTTGAAAAGCTGATCTTCATTGAGCAATCCGGACTTCAAAAGCGGAAGAACTTTACGGTCCCATGTCGCAGGGTCTGACAGAGGCAGTGGAATACAACAGTCCCCTTGATTTCGAGCAGATTTAGCAACGTGTTAAAGCTTCGACTGTACAAACTATCACTAAAAGTGCACGTTGGAGGTCACCTCTGCATGGATACGAAACAATCGGAGTGTACCATATGCTGCAAACAAGTGACGGAACGCAGTCTGTAGGGGCACCTATGCATGGTGCACAAGCTCGATATGACTGCAGCGGAACAGATACAATCCCAGATTAAGAAGGCCGAGTTGGAATCAGAAGGAAACGAACGGAGAGGTGCAAAATTTGCGGCCGTGTTTTTACGACGGCGAGAGGCTTAAAGCTACACGTCAGCTCGGAGCATCCAGATGCATCGAATTCATTCATGACCAGAGAGGATGTTCGTCCTTTTATTGTAGATCAAGTAAAGAGGGAAGAAAGAGGCTGAAAATGCGGTCTGATATTTCGTATTTGATGTATATTAATATGTAGACACATCAATATTCGTGGAGGTGTAATCGCTGTGGCGAGGGAACAGCACAAGGAGAACAACGGATCCGCAGAAGCAAGAAACTCTATCCCTAGAATGCGCATAGACAAAAATGGTCAACGTATGAGAGCCTTATCTGATCTGCGGCTCTTAGCTATGAGACAAGGCCAGTCCCTCAGCGAATTTTGATTCGCTTTAGAAAGCCTTGCGAACATGGCGTACCCAGATATGCGACGTCGTTGCAAAAAGCTGAGATACTGTGCAGGCAATTAGCTAGCTGTAATGAGAGTTACTGCCCTTTGGAAGCACTAGGGAATAGTAAGTGTGAAGAAGCATACGAAAATGTGAAATGTGAAGGAGGCATCCCTTATACTAGAAAGAAGCCTGAAGACAGCTGAGGAGTGCGGATTACGGAATAAAGGCAGGACTGAGTTTGGTTATAGACATCGCGCCCTTGAACGGAGAAGAGGATCAGTTTGCGAAAAGAGCCCAGATAACGGCTCAAACGGTTCGGAAAGAGTAGCTAGACCCTTGACAGAAGGCGAAGAAAAGTCAAAAAGCATCAACGGTCGCAAAAAAGAAATTGAGGGCGAGATTTTCCAAGGTGCTATAACTGTGGTAGCATGGGGCGTTTGGCCAAAGACTGCCGTAGTGCGGACCTAGCCCAGCAGAGGACCCCTACAAAGGTAAATGCGCAGCGAAGACCTGATGTAGCCTAAGCTTCGCTGGTAGAAAAGTTAGTATGCACATCGTACTGGGAGCCTGCGTTTAAAACATGTGAGGTATCCTGCGAGAAGCCACTTGCAGGGATAACGCTATGTGGTATCGAAGCAACAGCTTTTTTAGATACCGGTTTTCAAACAATCATCATTCCAGTGAGACTATTGAAGAGGGCAACAGATAGGAGTGTTGATCTGGATATATACATTGAGCGGATACCCGGTCCAAATATCAAAGTGCGAGACGCTTCTGAGGAAATATAATGGAATTCCTAGATACTATCAGGATAGCAATAACATTGGAAGACACTGGAATTGTTATCAGCCTCTGATGGAAAAAGTCCGGACGAGGTGGTGATCTTCGGCACCAATGCTCTGAAATTATTCAATTTAAGATTGCTGAAGGACACTGAGGCGGAAAAAGAGCAAGAGGACCACTAAAAAAATTGCACGAGTAGCTGCTGAAGTCAAAAACAGGGCTTATATTCGGCCCGGGCTAGGCTACCCTAACGTTGACATGTATAAGGGTTTGTGCAGTTGATTCGCCACCTACTCATACCGGATTGCATATGTCCGACGGAGAGCAATGTGGTCGGCATACCTGTCGTTAATCATTTAAATGAAGGCTTAGTGTTTAAGGAAGAAGTGATAAGATAGTGGGAAGACAGTGCTTGGTAAAGCCAAGGTAAAAGAGCCGGACAGGAATGTGTTGGGTCTCGATAGAACTGGAATTTTTGGTCCTAAGGAGAGTCGGAACGACAGGTTATTGAAGATTATTCGCCAGCAAAACCAGTTACTTGTTAAAGCAGCGGTTATGTTGAAGTATTTGATCTCTCCGACGCAGAGTTGACGCAAACTGATCTGGCGGACTGCGAGATTGACACAGGGCATCACAAACAAATAAGACCCCTTACCTGCAAGCGCTGCTGGGCTGAGGACCTTCTTGGGGATGGCTGCCTACTACAGACAATTTATAGCAGGATGTACAAGTTGCTCAGCACAGAAAGTAGCTGGAATGGGACCCCTAAACTTGATCAGCATTTTCAAGATCTCGAAAGAGCATTAACAAGCACGTCTGTCCTCGCCCAACCAAAATGACAGCAGCCGAGAAAGGAAGTAGACCTTTCATGATTTATACCGACGCATCTGGAGAGGGGCTTGGAGCGGTGCTTTGTCAGGAAGGAGACGACCTATTTCTCCATCCGATAATGTTCGCGTCGAAGGGTTTGACGAAGGCAGAGAAGAATTACCACATCACTGACCTCGAAGCGTTGGCTGTAGTCTTTGCCTTGGAAAAGTTTTATTTTTTAGTACACACGGATCATCAGCCCTTGACGTGTTTGTTAAGATTACGAATGTGCCCGCTCGCGTTCAGATGAACTGGAAACTGAGTATAAATCAGGCGAAGCAAACGTTGCAGCTGATGCGTTATCAAGAAGTGCCGCGAAACGTCAGAAACTGTGCCCACAACTTCAGAAAATGACATGGTAATTTTTGATAGTGGGGGAAAAAGACATCGAGTGTCTAAGGGAACTAATAGAAAATACTGACTACAAGCAGCTCACCCTTGATGTGATACAAAAACTAGATCACAAGGACGTCAAGCTTAAGAATATTGTGCAACGGTTCAGGGTTACAGAGTTCTGCATCGATAACGGCGACCTCAAAATGTTGTGTGAAAACACATTAGTAAGAGTGGTGCCAAAGTCAAAAAGGAGGGCTCTGTTTGAGAAAGCGCACTGAGGAGTAATGGCTGGAGGGAAGCTGTATCGTCCGCTCAAAAGGTCGGTTTCTTCGGGATGGAATGGAAAGCATATTGCGAAATGATCAAGAGTATGTCCGAGCTGTTTTTTGTCTAGAACCCATGTGATCCTCACTCCTCCCTTGATGCTGTTTGAAACGCACCGTATGAACTCGTAGATTTAGACTTGGTGGAGTACAGATTGGCTGAGAGGGGCAACAAGTAGACTTTAATGGTGATCGATCACTTCTCAAAGTTTGTGGGTGCCTACTCAATTCCGGACAAGTATGCCGGAACGGTGGCTCATGCGTTTTTTGAAAGAGGGATATGCGACGAGTGTAGAGAGAAAGTATGACAGAACGGGTTATCGGAACCTTAACAAGGATGTTGCGCAAGAAAACAATAGTTCGAGCCGATTGGGATTTACTATTACCTATGGTGGTACTACGCCACAACTCTTCTCCGCATGATATGTCAATGTGATTGAAAGAAAGCTGGTCGCGAGGAATCACATTCGATGGCCGGTTGCGTTCGACGCATGCAGTAAAGAGAATGGACCCTCCCAACCAATTGGCCATCAAATGTGATACCTCGCGACCAGATTTCTTTCAATCACATTGACACAGATGACTATAAGTATGAGCTCCAGGCAGGCATTCAATTGGCACAGGAGTGCGCCAAAGAGCTTAGCGACAAGTATAGGACGAGTATTAAAAATGGATATGACAAGAGGAACAAGGTCGATGGTAATAAACTGCCAAAAGTAGGAGATAGAGTATTCTTGAAGCTCCCTAAAGAAAAAGCTGATAAGAAATACCCAAAGTTAAGCGAACCTTGGGGAGGGCCATACCGCTATATCGAGACTAGCGGCAATTCAGCGATAATATCCTTACTATAGATAAAGCGCTCGCGTCTGTCTGTCAATACATCTGTTTGTTTGCACGGAAATTCATAACTCCTGTCCCCGTGGACCTAGAATGTTCAAATTTATTAGTAGGAGCACAGGCGGCAGGATGAGAACACATATGGTGGGTGGCAGGACCAGACTCCGCCCACAGGAGGCGGGGTTTCTGTGCAATGAATGCTCCAGCGGAAAATCATAACTCCTGTCCCCGTTGACCTAGAACGCCTAAATTTAGCTGCTTTATTGGAGGTTAAGATGAGAACATTTATGGCAGGTGGCAGGACCGGACCGCGTCTGCGGAGGGCGGGGTCTGTGCGGAATAAATGTTGCAGCGGAAAATCACAACTACTGTCTCACTGGACCTAGAGGGTTCAAACTTGGTAGGAGTACAGGCGGCGAGGTGTGAAAACTAAGCGTGGGTGGCGGGACCGAACTCCACCCACACGGAGCGGGGTTGGCGCGAATTAAATGTTGGAACGGGAAAATCATAACTCCTGTCTCTGTGGATCTAGAGCGTATAAATTGGGTCAGAGTACAGTAGGCAGGATGGGAACATTCATGGTGGGTGGCAGGACCGGACCGGGTCCACGGGGTGCGGGGTTTCCGCGAAACAAACGTCTGAGCGAAAACTCCTGATCTCATGGACTTGGAGAGCAGTACCAATAGGAATAGAGGGGGCAGGAAAGGAACACTGACGATAGGAGAGGAATCAAGAGGCTTCAGAAACCGAGATCCAATCACCATTCATATCCTAGCGCCTTTAATATTTACCATCTAGCTTTGAGTCTTCGATGTTTCATTCGATAAGAAGGGTAAGTGCATTGGTAGGGACCGATTATGAAAATTGGTTCACTTCTTGTTTACGACTGCTACCCAGCGAAGTTTGCGATTCAAGGAAAGGTCACGGTTCCCTCTGCTTTGATATCATTCATGGCAAAACTTATCCGACCGGTGATAATCTGGGAGCCTCTATTAATGATATATCCTTAGAGGAAAAGTTCCATTGAGAACAGCCACCTATTTTTGCGGTATGCTTCTCCTTGATGTTATTCTTGACTGAAACTCCCACGAGGTTGGCATAAAAATTTGGCACGCGACATTGCCCTACTAAATGATTGCTGCATTTCCCCAACCACCCACAAAGTTTTTTCCAGTGGCGCGCAACGGAGACATGGTAGTACCTTCATTGAAGAGAAAGTTCCCTTCGTGCTGCCATTTATCTGTGAAGTCAGCGCCGCCATCAGAAAATGTCTCAAGAGGGCAGGTCTGGAGAACTCAGTTGCCATTATAAACGCGCCACCCTTCAGTCTGAAGCAACGCCTGCTCGAAACCGGCAGTATGACCACCTATGTACCACCTCAAATTGTGTGGTATGTCCAGCTAGCAGGGAAGGGGATCGCGCCATGTCTGGGGTGGTCTATAAGATCACTTGCCGTAACTGCAGGGATGAGTATCCTACTATATATAACGTACAAAGTGTGTCTGTTCGTTTGTCTGTCTGTGTGTGTGTCTGTGTGTGTGTGTCTGTATGTGTGTGTCTGTGTGTGTC